ACGACCGCACAGAGTAGCATTATAACAGAACTTTCAAATGTATCTAGTATGATAAAACAGCGCTGCTTTTTTTTCCGCACATACACACGACCGGAAGGAGTGGAAGCGGTCGACTGTGGCATAATAAAAGCTCCGCTGCTTTCGAGCTGTGTGTCACGCTCGTTCAACGGCCTCGTTTCGCTTCGACGACTTTCAGCCTCACCCAGCTTCATTCTACTATGTTAATAAATCATTAGCTCATCCATGAACATGATTTCTGCCCGAGTCCCGTCGTATTGAATCGGCTGTGGGCATGAAGACGACAACTCCCAAGCGATTAGTCAACAGAAGAGACAGACGGCTGCACGTGAGTGTTTTGCGTAATACTTGTTTATATTTCTAACAATTGGAAATACGCAACCCACTCTCCCCTAGGCAATTATAACTCATTTGAATCTCATGTGATCACTATAACAGCTCCTGTAAAACTCCAGGTTGTGGTAATTTACCGCCCTCCTGGGCAAATTCTATCCACCTTCAAGTTCAAGACATTGATGCTTGCATATAGAACAGCCACAGGCTCAGCACCCGCCTACTTCCACTCTCTACTACGAATCAACATCCCCTCCAGAAGTCTGATATCCGCTAGTGAGCTACGCCTCGTGGTACCATCACAGAGAGGCTCAAAATTACTTTCCAGAACATTCTCGTTCACCCCATGATTCCACACTCAGTCACGGCATCATCAGACTATGCCTTTGTCTATTTGTTTATTTTGAATACGCGCCCTCCAGCGGCGAAAATTACATATTGTGCCTTTAAGCATTTTAGAAAGTCCCCCGGTGGTTGTGTGTGTGTGTGTGTATGGTCGATAGTTTTCTATGGGAGGAATCGCTTCACGTGAAACTTGTGCGTTGCATTCATATTCTGGGCTCTTCTGCTTGTGTGTAAATAGTAGGCTATGCTTTATTAATAAGGGGTATGCTTTGCTTTTTAATCACTGTCTTAATGCATTAAGCCTTATCAAGCATTTTCAAATAGGGCTAATGGTTTTCAAAGGGAGGAAAACGCTTAACTTGAGACTTTGCGTGTCGCGTTCATATTCCGGTCACATCTACTTCCCAGTAGGCAAGGCAATATAGTTAGCAACATTAATAAGGTGTATACCGAATTTGGCCATACTTTTACACCATCTTCTTCCATTAAGCCTACGGGAGGATAACAGTTTAACGTGTAGCGTAGTATATTCTCATCTGCTTTCCTGTACCTAGTAACCTATTTCAATATACAGATGGTGTTTCCTGCTTGACATTTCTGCCTGCCGCACCTCCTCCAGTGCACCTTTTGGGGTCAGCTGCAGGGTCATCAGCTGGTGCCACCATTCACGGACGTTTTGCCCCCTATCCAGTACGTCTCCCGGTAGGGGGGCAGTGGCTTATTGGAACGTCTCCCCGCCACCCCCTGCAGCTGCCCTCACTGGGGTACCGAGCCCCAATTCCTGTCCCTCCTCCGTAGCCACAACCAGTAGCTTGCCTTCTCTGCCTCCTCCGCCTGGCCACAGTGGCCAAGAAGGTCCTCATTACTGAGCCACTTGAACTCGTACGCCGCTGGTATTCCCTCTTCCCATGGCACAGTTAGCTCAGTAATGAGGACCTTCTTGGCCACTGTGGCCCACACCACAGCATCTGGCCTTAATGTTGTCTGAGTGATCTCTGTTGGGAAGATAATCTGGGTGCCCAGGTCAACACGCATCTTCCATCCCTTCCCAGGAGTGAGCAGACATGTTGTCCTTCCCGCCACTGTCTTCTGCCCGCCTTCTCCTGGTCTGAGGAACGGGATGTTTGGCCGAATGGGATCTGAAGAGCTATTTGCCCGGACTCTACATCTTTCCAACAGCTCCGCCAACTTCCTCAGCACCTGATTATGCCGCCATCTAAAGCGGCCCTGCGTCAATGCAACGTTACACCCCGACAAGATATGTCGAAGGCCTGCATTGGCTTCATTGCACAGGGGGCACTTGTCCTCACTTCCAAACCACTGCGAGAGATTTCGGGGACAAGGGAGGGTGTCATACACTGCCCTCACGAGGAAGCTGAGCCGCGACTGCGGGGTTCGCCAGATATCTGCCCAGGTTATGACCCTGTTAGTACTATCCTCCCAGCGGGTCCATTCTCTTTGTTTGCCCTGGGAAACAGCCTTAATGAGGTAACGGTCCTGTTCCACTCGTGAGACCTCTTCCACCACCATGTACTTCCTCTGCTCCCTTGTGGCTTTGGACCAGAACTGGACTGGCTCTCCCCAGCCCAACCCTGCTCAGCTGTGTTGGACT